TTTTTTACCCTCTTTAACTTTTCTAGCTGCCTCCTTTGTTGTACACAACTAGCAATTCACTTTTTAAATCTCATCATGTCTAAAAATCTATAAATATATCACTCTTAGATATGTATAATTATTTTCTTACTACTTGTTTAGCACAGATTTTACGATTTCACCCCCATAAACTCTTATTATTTACAGCCCTTTATTATTTAACTAAGTTTTTCTGACCTAATGAGCAGCCTTACACACACAATACGATTTCTTAAGTCTGGCTGTATAATTGAAATTTTTTTTATGTACTATATTTGCGATTATACTTTGTACTATAAGCATAGAGACTAACTGTATCGCCTTTTTTTCCGCTTCAATACCCTCTTTTTCTGCAGTCTATTAACCAAGCTTATCCATATTGAATGATAATGTTTCGAAATTATAAGTGAATCCTGAATAGCATTAGGTAAGGATTTTCTCACAATAAACTTAGTAGGCCCCACGATGCCATTGAAATTCATTCAACCTTGGCTTCCAAAGATTATCTCATCCATAAAGAATTACGTAAAACTTAAATTAGATCTATAATAGAAACTAAGAGGAAAAAAGCAATTTTATTTTTGATGCCTTGGTGACAAAGTTAGATCCTAAACTGTGTAAAATATGTATAAACAAACCAGCATTTATTAAAGTGATTACGCATTTTTCTACAATCATACTAACATGATGAAGGGTGGATCTTCCGACTATGAGGCCTGCGGATAGGAAGTATTTGGATGAAATTTTCAATAGGGACTGACAATGATTGTTGGATAACCATTTTCCACTTGGCCTGATTTAAAATAACCTTAGTTTAGTCAGGAGTAGAGGATGTTTGGGCGCAAGCTAAAAGACAGGGACTAAGTTAAACTCTTTGATTAATATTTTGAGCATAGTCACACTTTCTTTTCAGCTGATTTCAGTTAAAAATCTCATCGTCTCAAGTTGAAGTCTGTCTGGTAGTATTTTGCTTTTTCATCCTCCAAACTTTCATTAGCTTTGGTTCCTGTGGATTAACTCTACGCTATACTCTATCTTCTTATTCTGGCTCACAGGCACACGTAAGATATATATACAGATGGATAGACATATAGATTAGCTAACCAAATACCTCCACGACTAAAGAAGTTCTTTTTTGTGAGTATATATCACTGGACAATGAACTTTTTGATTTGGACAATGAAAAAATTAGTTATTTTAAGGCTCATGTTAGCAGCCGATTTTGATATATGCATTCTCTTGCAGTGAAAGTTTGCTAGAATCGGCCAACTCTTCAAGAACAGATGAGACAATCCTGTTGCCTGGTGGTGTGGCTTCAGAACCCATTTCATGGTGAGACACTGCAGAGCCACTTGGGTAGGGCCGGTCAAAGGCTTGCGGCGTGCCACCAACCCCAATTTCCCAAAAGGCCGACCTCTGATTGGCCAATCGTGGGCCAATTACAACCAACAGGAGAACCAATCACAGCGTTGTGACTACCTCCTGTCGTGATGCCGACGGGGGAGTTTTGCTCCAATACCAATTACCCAACCAAGATTCTGCATATATGCATTTGCCCAGGCCACAATTCACTTGCGCGTCATGAGCTCTGAGATAGAAATTAGTCTAAAACACGTTTTTAGGTGAGCAGTCTTGTGGTCAATAGTGAATTTTTGTCACAGATAATGGAATGTAAACTTTCAAAATCCATCTTCTCTGTCCATTTTGCTAGTCTTACCATCAACCTTGTGCCTTTTTGGATGGGCCACTAATGTATTTTCACCGAACTACATAAGTGAACTGTTTAAACACAGCGGTTTGAGTATGGAGAGGGAACGACCTTACTACTTGTCGATTTCTGCAGCAGGCTGGCATAGACCGTTTCTAAGCCGCCGGTCGGGGCCTTGGTTGCCTTTGCAACGAAAGAAGTTGTGAAGGTCACTCTGGCAAAGAGAAAATCGAGCGAGGCAGCGAGACAACGGATGTGGTACTGAGAGAAGAGGACTCAAAGGAGCCTGCAAAAGGTCCATCTCGATGACAAGTTTGGTGACGGCATCACAAACCCATCTGCTTCCCAACTTCAGGTACATGCGACTAGGATATAACTCGTGGAACTCAGGTGAGCCGAAGTGGTTCCTATCGAATAAGTTACTCATTATCTGTCTTTAAGACACAGACAGTTTTCCCGCGGTCTTCTGTCGTTTGGGTGAATTGAGACGTTCTGGTGGAAATGTACAAAGCTTTGTATCTTCAGCCGTTTTACAGAAATCACTAATTCCAGATATCCAATCGACGTACCCCAAACCACGATGTATACGTAAACGTTGGGTTTTCGGAGATATAATTGGATTTACGTGTTTCTGAGTTTTTGTATTTCGGTATGTGTGCGACTGATGTGGTAGAAAATCCAAGTTATTAGAGCAGAATGGAAAACCTGTCCCGTGTAAACAAGATTTTGTGTCCTTTTATTTGACTTAGGCTAGCGTATCCCTACGATTGCTTTCTGGCCGGAATCAATTATGTGAAAAGTGAAACTTCAACAAGATTGTTTTGCTCACTTTAATTTCGAATGAAAGTGTATTGAAAAGTTCTGAAGAACGAGCCCACCAAAAAACGCAAACGGATTCTAACTGTCCATTCGCTTCAGTCAAATGTTTTGATTGACTCTTTCTTCAAGAAAATCTCATTCGATTTCAGTGAAATTATACCTTGTTTTAGTCTGTCCATTGCCGAACATAATCGGATCTGAGAATCACTATTTTAACTTATTTAAGATAACGAGTCAACAACCTTCATCCTTTTATCCCTACACGCCATATATATAATATATAGAGTAATTTGATTAGTTTTTGATCATAACTACATTCTATAATCATGGGCGTGTGGGCATTTGTCTTTACCTAAAATTACTAAACACACGATGATAGCTCCAATTAATCAGGACATAGCTTAACATGTGACAATCACTCTGATTGCGTAATGCCGGATACACTTCTAGGTGAGGTGATGAACTGTTATGTGTCAACTGAGATGTCTAGAAAGTATGGACATAATTAAAACATTAATCTGTAAAAGCTTCGCACGTTGTTACCAGTATCAAAGGGGATTGCCTCAGGGACAGCGGCAGCAAGATTGTTCCAATAAAGCTAATTGACAGTTGGCCAAAAGGGATCCATCGTTCGCTTCTGGTGGGATAGACCTTTGAATCTCTTCAACAACAACTTTCACTCGAAATCGAAGTAAGCTCAACAATGGCCGCCCGAAATTGCTTCTTGAAATTCAACTTCTTTGTGTCTTCCTCAGAATAAACCTCAACCGGAAAGACTAGTTAAGGTGGCTTCAGGCTATTTCTTTCTCCTTTGGTCTATCAATTAAGCAAAAGTACTTCCTACCAAGCTTCAGAAACCAAGTTGTCAATATTTTCATTTTTGATTACATTTTTAACAGAGGGCTAAACAACAGAAATGCAAATCTCACCAAGCCGTCTGGAGCCAATCTATCGCTGCTGCTGTTTCCACAATGTATTCAGCGACTTCTCGCTTTTGTGTTCAGCCATTTTCGGGTATTTTTGAGTCTAGTCTCCCCAACCTAAGGGCGACGGGACGTAGATACCAATTCGAAGAGACTAGTTGTGGGTTGATGGTCAGATCTCTCTTGACAAGCGGGCACAAATGAGGAAGGAGTCAAGGTTTCTGTATTAACGGGTATGATTTTAGACTTTCTTAACGGTTCCTGATGCTTTTTGAACAAAAGCCCAAAGGCACAAACAGAATTTGTGGTCTACACTAAACACCCCTTACGACAGCCCAGCTCTTACAACCCAAATAGCCTCTCTTTTGGGCTCTGGTGTAGGCATCCCCGGAAACCTGCGATTCGAGGAGGCTGAACTAGAAGAAAAGACTGGTTCGAGTGACAGAGAATTGTAAATTGGCTTAACCAGAAGACAGCGAACAAGTGATTGTCTTGAAAATATGACTGCTGGATTGTCCGAAGAAGATCTAGCCTCACTTTCCTGACACTCCATTGGATCCATGCTGGGCCTGCCGGCGTCATGTGAATGGCGTCAGTTCCAGAATTCACGAGAATTCACCAAGGAACATTAATACTATCTTGACTGACTCCCTGAGCCGAAATGTTTGTAAACATGGATATTAAATCAAAACATACTCTACTTTTATTGATTTACTGTTTTTTTGGTGAAATTTATTTACATGACGAAGGAAAGTTTAGTGCGCCGAGGTCTTCTTTGTACAATCCAGTGATAACAGATATAAGACAACCCTCATTCGGCTTCTGGTGAGGCCAATTTACGAAGT